AAAAAAAATGAACTAAGAGATAGAACACTAAGAAATTATACGGATATGAAAGAAATTGCATTTTCTACCAAATTCTAGTGAGAGAAATCTGACTTTAGAAGTGTTCCTTAACTTATTACATTATTTCCTTATCGATTCAATCTTATGCATGATATTTATTATATGCTGAAATAACCTGTGGATACTGTGGGTGTGAAGATTTGTATTAATACAAAGGAAACAGCTCAAAATAGAAACATGTCTGAATTCTGAACATCAGTCAGTTGGGAAAGACATGCAATCTCTTCCGTTGTGATTTTCTGTTTCTGAAACCAACCAGGAAGGTCCACTTGGAGTTGGTTCTCACTGCACAGGACTGAGTGTGACTCTGCACAGAGAACTTGAGCAAGATTAACTGTGAATATAGGTGGTCAGCATTTTCAAGAGGGCTGCCTGATGAACCCAGGGCCAGGTCCAAATCAGGAAGGTCCTGGATAAGAGGTAATCACAGCTTTTCACAGAAAACTTAGTAAGTTGCACAAACATACACACACACACAGAGGAATAAGCAAAGGTCTATATAGATCTTTCAAGTCTCATATTCCACACCTGTGAATACTGACATCTCCCATTCAATGAAACCATTCAGAAGAAAAACTGTGACCGTGTCCTGGTTCAATAGCAGGTTATGCCAGGATTACAGATGGTGGTGTCTCTCTCTCCCTTCCCCATTCCCTCCTTAAGATAACTATTCACACTGGTGACTATAGTGGGTGTGAAGTGCCAGAGGGTTTGTCTCTGAGTTACTTCTCTGTTTCCTTATTAGTCTAAGCACTGTAGCTCTGAAAGACACTTCTCTTGGGATTGATCTGTGAAAGTGCAACAACAAATTACTTGATGATTTGTTAAAATTATTTGTTTTCTGTTGTTGTGTACATCAAATTGGATCTGACAGACACAGGAGGAGACTGCCCCTCCTTCTCCAGTGGAGAATCTGGTGGATAAATTTTACTTTTATATTCTCATACACTCAATCAATGCTCTTTGAGTCAATGTCCTCAACCAAGAAGCCACTGACAAGTGCAGCACGTTCCGTGAGGCTGGAAAAGGCATAAGCATAGAATGTCCCTCATTCTCTGAGCAAGCCACGGAAGGACCAGAAAGGTGCCTGCTGGGGTCAGTAGCACCCCTGTTCCCATGGAAAACAACAGAGAAGACACCAAAGGTACAGACAGGAAACACTCACGCTAGGCACACCTGCAGAAGAACAGTGAGCGAGAAGAGGAGTTCATTCTTTCCACACACCTGAAAGCCTAAAACCAAAATACAAGAACCACTTCACTG